GCCGGACACTGGCGCCACCGGGCCCTCTGACCACCACCAGTAGGCAAACATGGGGTTAGTATCTTGTTTGGTTGTCATGTCTACGTCGCTCCATGTTTTCTGTTTTATTTTGAAAGGTCGAGTGTTTCCCCTGTGGTGTCAGGTTCATTTCTGTGTTTCCACTTCACTCATCACCCTTCTGTGCGTTGAAGTCTTTCTCTGATGTTGGGTCGTCTCTCGTCTTCATGTCGAGTTACATCAGTCGTGCTTTCAACTGTTCAGGTTCATTCTCGTGTCGTGTTTAGATTACGTCATGTTCAAGGTGTTACATGCTCCCGTCCAGTTTTCATCTTATATTCTCACGTTGTTGTTTTCATAGTTGGTTCATTCCCAGTTTAGGTTTCAGTTTACTTTCACCTTGTTTTTCTGTTTTTGTGTATCTCCATACCAAACGCTCGCTTTTTGTGTAAACCTCTGTTCATCTCTTGCGTGTCTGCATTTGCACCACAAACACACCTGCGGCTTAGCCGTGACACATTTCAAACATTTGATAAGGTGTATTTGCTTTTTTTGAATAAAATATGGATTTATGAGACTTGCAAATCATGACATTTTGCTTTGATTTACATTTCACACACAGTGGGAAGGTTTGCCCACAGCTGAAGAAACAAGCTGCTGCAGCTCAGTGCTGGTTCTGGTAAAAAGGTGTCACAGGGTATCACAGCCAAAGACCTGTCAGTGTGCCCATAATGACCGTGACAGCAATGAGCATCAGAAGTGGACCATCGAGCAAAGGAGGAAGATGAATCATGTTTGCTGTTTTCACGTGGATGGCCGGGAGCTTGTGTGTCACGTGCTTAGGAAACAGTCTGATGCTCTGGGCTCTGGAAACCTCGGGTCCTGCCATGTAGATGTTACTTTGATTTTACTGTAGGCGCCAGATATTTATATTTGGATTTACAATTAATTTCATGTTTGGTTTGTAATTCATAGATGCTTATGAGTTACATAATTGATCTTCTCAGGATTAATACATTTGAACATTTAGGTTTTCGTAAGGTAATGAGATGGCCCCCATCAGCATGTAAGAGCAACGGCAGCATGAAAACCTTTGTGGTTTGGGAAGAGGAGGAGCATGGCCGGAGGAGTACACAGGTTGTTCTGGATAAATGTCTTATTTTTATGGAACGTTTATGCTTATTTAAGGAGTTCATTGTTACGTCTTTAGTTAGTAATAAATAAAACAATCTTCAAGTCAAAATTCAACTGGAAACATTTCCTTTAAGAAACCAGGAACACCCGTCAGCCACAGACTCCTTTTTTGAGCATTTCCCTCCATGCACCACCTACCTAAACGTTGCTGCATGTGCACCCTTTGATGGAAACTGTATTTT